ACCATACTATTACAATCTTCATGGAGCCACATTTCTACTTTTCTTTGCACATAAATCAGGATTTCACTACAACCATTGGAAGGCATACCTTTATCACTGAACAGGTTTAGTAAGCCATACAGTGTCTCCAAATACATCCACTTGCACTAAAAATAGTCTACTGCCAGAATTAAATCAGAACTTGAATAAAAAAAAAGTGTTAAGGCAATTGGTTCATAACCAAGGGGGAGAAAATACTAAGGAGTCAATTCTGAAATGCACTTTTCATRGGACGAATATTTATGACTATAAAACTAAACAACAGGAGATACCATTAACAAAGCTTTACAGACTTATGATCTTAATCCCAAATCCCCAAATTTAGGATTAAATAATCTCACAGAAAATCTGAAATATGTAACAACAATCTTAATTTACACTTATTTATTTCATGGAATCTGGACAAAGCCTTCAGGTTTTAGATTGTCTCTATGGCAAAGATAAAAGAATTTTGCATTTGTTTAAAAGATATTCTTCAGGTACTTTGAATGAAGTTGACTATTGTCAATATAAGTTTATCATAGAAGCCCAATAATATATGCTAAACAGTTATGCAAAGTACTACTATTTCTATTTTGCTAAAACTTCAATTTTAAGCAAATTCAAACCAATCACAATTCACTGAACACAAAAAGCACAAAACCCAAGCAATTCTCTAAATAGATAAACTGCTTAGATGAATACATTCAAGTAAAGATAATTATATTTAATTGATTCCCCCTTTCAATTAAGTGGTGACTTTTATTCATCCCCATTTATAAGCATTTGATACTAAGCCCTATCTTTACTGGTGAGGTGACTTTTACCAGATATCAAAGCAGTGCTAACTACAACTTTTGATAAAAGTCAAGATTATAAAGCTGGACTGGCAGACAGTAATAGTGTAATTGCATACAGTTCATACTTGTCATTGAAYGCCAATAAACTGAAGTAAAAGGCATTTATTGGCAGCTGTAGCAGTGGTCTAGATTCACCTGAAAATGAGGGAGCCCTGTGGATGGTGAATGCAACTCCTATTACCGTGAGCATGTCTGTGTATTCTCTTCAAAATGCAGCTTACAAAGAGTCAGGTGACAATCAGGCTCTAAGGGAAAGTATAATTGATACTTACTTTATAAAAGCTTCTTTAWGCATCAGCACGATTTAAGATACATAAGTGTTCCATTTTTCAAAGTTCTTCCTGTTCAGAAAAAGCGTGCATGTATGAATTGGCAAGCCTTTTGCATATTTTTTGGCACTTAAAAGTATTTTAAGAATAATTCTGGCATTTTACTAACTGCTAAATCATTAAAAAGATAATATTTGAAGTCTGCAGGGAAGCTAGCTTAGCACTGCTCTCACTTGCTTGCTTACCTAGAATAATTCTTCCCCTGCTAAAAACACAAAATCTCAGAAGAATCATTACTCCCTCCGATTGTATCTTGGTGGAGTAAATCAACTTAAATAAGAACTAACCCAATGAAACCTTACATTTTCCATAAACCAGATGTTCTTATATTCAAATATGTTCAAGTTTTTTTCAAGTATTTTTGGGAAAGTCTAGTTGTCAGACTAACCTTTCCAACCTCAACACTGCAGTCAGTATGACTTCTGCTGAAATGATGACTGGGCTGCAGCTATAGGCAGCCTTTCACCTGGCCACAGCATTCTTAAGGCACTGTTTGCTCCTGAACTTCAGGATTTTTGTGTTGGTTTAACTGTTGAATAACAAAGAAATGTCATAAATGTGACAGAGTACATGATCATCTAGAATAATTATAACTAAAGACACTGCTTTCCCTGATATAAATGAATTCATTTGATGTGCTATTTGAAGAGGTGAGAAAATAATCTTAAGTATCTATTCCTCTCCAGAGCAAATATTAAGTAGAGGACTAAAAGTACCTCCAAAGCAAATATTTCTTTTTCATTAACCACAATAAACTAGGAGTGGAAAAGAAAGTCACATAAAACTTGCCAGAACATAGTTATTGAACACTGCAGTTTCTAATCTCAACAATAAATGTAGGTCAAGGGAACTGGAAAATCTAATTACTCTGTAAATTTTTTAATCTGTTTCTTTCTTCTCAAGGAAAGGAAAATTGTTCCTTCATATTTAAGCAGACTTCACTTCAAAGTGTAACTACAGGTAGGTGGGAAATTATTTTTGATTGAATGTAGAGGTTTTTAAATCTCCTTCAAAGTATCTGTGCATCCTGGATTGTACACTCAGCTCTGATTCAGAGTTTTATTTGAAGTATCACCAGCTATTTCACAATTCCTAGAGCTAAAACACAAAATCCAGAGACACTCAGAAAAAAGCAGACAAAAAAACCCATCATTGAACAAAATAGATCTTTGGTACCACACTGTAGCAGTTCCTTTCAGCATTATAACCCATTTGATACCCACTATTTATATACTGCATTAAGAAAATACAAAGCAACGCATCATTACAAAACTATTACTAATTTAAGCATCTGATAGCATTGTAAATATTAATTATTCACTGATTATGTGACTTTTTCACACAGTTGATGCTGATTTCAGTGTATACACAGACCATATTACTTAGATTTACAAGAGAATAATTGAAAGAAATACAAAAACTTTGAAGATTCAAGCCTCCTGATGACTCTAAAAACCAAGGATCATTTAAACAACCCATTTCCAAACAAAAAAAATTGTAATTTCAGGCACTTAAGATGAATTCATAGCAAAATGAATCTCAACTTCCTTCTCTCTCAACAAAAACCAAAAAACAAAACAAACACACAGAAAGACTAGGAGCCGTAACTACAGCCAGCCGCACTGACTGGCCCATCTCACAAAACTCTGTCTTCCAGCCCTTACCTCTGCAATACATGACAAGGAAACCATGAGTTTCACAACAGATAGATTTATGTGTTGTGTTCTGATTTGGCAGTCAAATGTTTTGTTTGCTTTTGGGGGATGGAAGGAGTGAGTTGTACAGAAGTAGAAAACCTGGCCTAAGGTCATCTGACCTTTGGACAGCGCTCTCGTTAAGTATAAATCCTATTTTTGAACTTCCTCCAATTGCATGCAAGGTGAAGCTTCCCAAACAAACAAAACAAAAAAGGACAAAAAGTTAATTCAGAAATATCCACACTGAAGACTTAAAATGAATGTGTCTTGAAAGGTAAGCCCTGAAACAGTAGCTCAAGGAAGAACACCCAAAGCAAAAGGAGTTCTACCATGGTCTGTTTTAAAAACCAAATGAATGGCAAGATTTTTTTTTTTTTTTTTTTTTTTTTTTTTTTTTTTTTTTTTTTTTTTTGCTTTATGCATTTGATGAATGACATCAAATGCCTTAAGCAAAAGAGGTTTATTGAGACATAACGAAGAGTCTTTTAAACTACATGAGAATTCACCAGACTACGCCACTCTCCCTGCTCCATACCACGGATGAATTTATGAATGCAAGCATCCAAACAATTCCTAAGCATTCTCAAAGCTTCCAGATATCAACTTGGTAACCTTTRAACTAAAAATTTCAGACGCTAATTAGGTACTGGTCCTTCCCTCACATTAAAAAAAAAGAAAGAAAAAAAGAAAAATTTATCCTGTCTGGAGATCCATTAAATTGGTAAAATCATATGTACCCTGAGTCCTGACTGGTGGCAAGTAGCAATAAATGAGACCTGGATCTGCACTGAATGAGGAGAAAAGGAAGAAATCTTATCTGCCAGTCCATTTGCTAAGTGGCAAAAGTGGCAGAAGTGGCAGGGGCCTTCTTAAAAAGATATGCTTATACAGAAACAAATGTGGAAAAGCAAATAAATATATGAAGTTTCTTAATCTCTGGGTGTTTGACTTTACAGCTTATTAGAACTTTAACAAACCAAAAAACATCAATACAGCRTGCTTTTCTTCCTTAACTTTCATGGTTTTTAAGCTGGACGTTACACTGASTCACTACACTTAGTTCACATTCTGAAGAACAGAAGGTCCAAATTTCACTAAGAACCAGAGCAATCAGTGATGACAAACCACTATCCCTTCAATGCATGCCATAAACAGCATATAAAAAGTCTGATTTGTTATAGACCAACAGCACCATCAAAAAAATAATCTTAGGACCAAAAGGTGTTCCAGAAGAGCAAGAGACAAGGAGAATACAASTTTAAAGCACATTGGTCTACCCTAAAAGCACAGAAGAGCTGCTGAACATCAAAAATATTCAGATGAAGRAAAAAGCTTATGGAACAGTTGGGAGATTTCTACAACCACACTTCACTACAAAAAGGACTACCTTCTGTCTGTCAACACGACTGAGCAACCTTTCATGCACAAGACAATGAATGCGCTGATGGCAGGTGACAGCAAACCGCGGTCATTGGAAGGAGTAGCATTTCCTTGTTTTGCTTTTGGATTGAGTTGTGAGTTGGAGGGCTTCTTTTGAAAACCGTCAAATGATAATAAAGGTATGGAGCTAGTAAACCTCTTCCTAGCCTGCTGGCAGCACTGGAAAGGCCTTTCTGTATCCTTAGCTCGCAAACACTGCAATACAAACGAAACAAAGCCAGCGTGAGCTGCCCACACGCCAGCCTGCACAGACCACGTCTTCTAAAAACAGGTTATGTGAAAAAGGGGCTAATTTACAATGCCAAAGCTGTACTCTTATTACGGCACTCGAGCCACGTGCATACCCCATGCTCCGCGCAGGGAAAGCGGCCCCGCCTCGCACACCTACGCCGGGCTCGGTGCCACGGCGGCTGCCGGCATAGCCCGCAGCCCGCAGCCCTCCCGCGCCCCGCAGTTCGCGCCGGGCACCGGCCCAGCGGCCCTCGAGCAGCGGCGGCGCCGCCCCACAGGGCCCGCCTGCAGCCCCCGGGCGCCGCGGAGC